TTACTAGAATGGTTCCTGGGATGGAGGGGTTGTCATACGAGGAGAGGCTAAAATCTCTCAAATTGTTTTCTCTTGAAAAAAAAGAAGAATTAGGATGATTTGATTGAGGTTTTTAAGATTGTAAAGGGAAAATTGATAGTGTTGATGCATCATCTTTTTTCATACTTAACAGTGAGAATATTGGTACTAGGGGACAAAATACAAATTTTGGTAAATTAGGAGTCATCTTCAGCCAAGACAGTTTTATTTTTCTAACAGGGTGGTTGGCCTTTGGAATGGGTTGCCTTCAGATGATGTAGAGGCAGTAAATTTAAGTGAGTTTAAGAAAAAGCTTCATTAGTATCTGAATGAAAAGGCTGGGTTTAAAATGTTTGTATTTTTTTTTTAATCATTTTAATTTAGTTTTGAGGAAGGAACAGCCGAGATGGACCAATAGGTCCCATGTTGTCCCAAAATATTATGTTATGTAAAAATTCTGATTTTTTCTTAATCACTCATTTCAGTATTTACTAAATGATTTTCTTATGATAAGGAAAACAGTGAGATGCATAAATATTTTTGGTTAGCTAAGTAATAAGTGCACTTAACTGTACATGTAAATGAAAATTCTCATTTTGTAACTATTAATTGCTATACCCTATGATATTAAGGAACTGTGTGGTGAGGCACTAAGAAGATTTGTTAGAAGATATGATTTTGATGGAAATTAGAAACAGAATTGGTGTCAGATTTTTATAATTATAACTGAGCAAGTAATATATCACATTAGAAGAAATATACTTCATTTTTTAAATAATTTTTCATTAACAGTAATTTCTTTTTCTCATTTCTAGATAAAATGCTTAACACTCTTTGTTACTCATTACCTTCTGCTGACAGAGCTGCAGGATCATTATCCAAGAAATGTTACTAACCATCAGATGGTGTATATGATTGGAGATGAAGGTAAATTATCTGATATCATTAATCAACTCTTAATGTTGTTACTAAAGGCTTAATGAACAATTTAAAGTGTAAACACCTTGCAATTAGTTAGACCATAAGGATTAATCTGTTCAAATTAGTTTTTATGTTTGGTAAGAAGTTCAACCTTCTATAATCAAATTAGTTATGCTAACCAAAGACACAGTGGTTCAGCTAAACCTGAGATAAGAAGTGTTGTTCTCATGCAGAGAGTCTTATGAAGAAAATTGATGTGATGATTTAAAAATTTTGAATAGGAAAATTTCTTTTTCTGTGACTCAGAAATTTTAACTTCGTAAGTGGACATACGTTTCATTTGAAAGTGTTTTTGCTTAAGAAGCTTATGCACAAAATTGTTTTCATGTTTAGATAATACCAATATCCACTCTAAAGATGTATCAAAAGTTTCACACTCGTGTTTGACCTTCCTGTACAAACTTGGTGATGGAGCTGCTGAAAGAAGCTTTGGCTTAAATGTTGCTCGTATGGCCGGAATTCCTGAATCTATTATTAATTTAGCATATTACAAATCACAGCAGGTGGAGCAGGAAGTTAAGAAACGAAGGTGAGACTTTTATTATGGACTCTTCACGTAAGTAGTGACTTTTTGTGTCATAAATAATACCTCTCCTACTGATTCTTAACTGTTGTTCAAGTCATCATACTAATACTTTACACCAATGTTACAGTTTTATAGTTACAATGATACCTGTCCTACTAATTCTTAACTGTTGTTCAAGTCATCATACTAATAATTTACACCAATGTTACAGTTTTATAGTTACAATAATACTGATCCTACTAATTCTTAACTGTTGTTCTAGTCATCATACTAATACTCTCTCTTTCCTTTGAATATTAAAAAGTATTTTAGATTATATTAATACTGCAATTGCAGAGTTCACTACTTTATCATTGTGGTACAAAATTATAGTTCACCATTAGTATGTGATTTAGCTGAACCCATGTGTAATTTTTTTTAACAAGAAGTTTAACAGAATTTCTCCAGTAGAGCGAACATACTGTCATGTACATGTTTTTTTTTCAGCACTCTCAGGCGAGAGTTCTTAACCTTGTGGAACAAGATTACTTGAAGTGGAAGGTGTGTGTAAAACTAAAACCCATTTATGTAATGTGTTAGCAACAGACAAGTTTGATAAATTACCATTAAACTTCACAGAAATATGTATAAAGGATTCGTAACAAACAAATTTAGACATAAAAGTTAATTCTAATTTTTGTAGTATTTTTATTGTGCAGAAAACATGAAAATCTTGCATTGTAAGTATATACCATTTAAGAGATACCACAGTTTGCTTGATAGGTAGATAAATAATGAGGACTTTGATATCAATATAATTATTTCTAAAGCACCAAAAAACTGATATACAACTCTATTTATATTTTAACTTTTTTTTTATGGAAGTAAAACAGATAGTTCTAGAAATAAAGAAATGTATTTAATTTTCACTTGAAAAACCTCATTGGAATAATAAAGTATTTCTGTAAATAACTGGTAACATTTTATGTTTTGTACAAGTATGCATTCTGTGCTTTTGTGCATAAAGATAGATAAATAACAAAAACCTTTTATTCTCCATATATGTTTTTGAACTTCTTTGGTGAGATTTTGCTGTGCCATGCTCGTAAATTGAACAAATTCCAATACATATCTTACCTCCCCTCACATAATAGCTTTTTTTCATTCAGTGCTGCCATCTATTTGTGCAATTGTTTTTTCTTGCCACTAACCTTGAAACTGCCACCTACCCCACGTTTCTACGTGGCTCAACTGTGTTGTAGCATGCAAATAAGCATATGACAACCCTCCTGTTGCAGCTGGCTTCCTCTATCCTGTAGAACCCAATCTTCACATCTCAATTTGGCACAGTATTGTTAAGACATGGTAATTTTCGCTTGTGTTTTTTTCTTTAATTTATGTTTATTGTTTTTTTCTGTTAATCAACTTTGTTCTTTGTTTTTCATGCAGCTTATTAAACAACAGTTGTTTTTCCCTACATTTTATACAGTAATAACCTCACTGTAGTTTATTAATTTCAAATTTCATTCAAGTTGAACATGAATTCTGAATTTTAATTCACTACCACTATTTCAGTAGTGTCGAATATTACAACATTTTAACTTACAGTGCCTCAGTCTACAGGCTTTACACTTTTGGCTATGGAGGTCATGGTTTTTCAATGGGAGTTGGGGTTCATCATATGGCCAGTTGTTTCTTCCAAGCTCAGTCCTAAAATTTATTTGTCTGGTGGATCTGGACAAGATTAAGATGATTTGGTAATTTACTATTTTTCCATCTCCTTCCTTGACCATGCAATCCTGATTTTCTGCCTATGGATGCCTCAAGGCCATCATTAGTGTTCTTGGACATGGGGACACAGGTATGCTTCCTTTTATTGGTTCCCTCCTCATTTAGGCCCCTTCCTTGGTATACCTAGCTTTCCTTTCTTCTCCTGATATTGGGTCCATGCTCACCAAATTTTCTTCCACACTTGCGTTCTGGAGGGGGACACGCGTCTCGACTCCCTTGGACTCAGAATAATTTTTTTCTGAGCTTCATGACATGTTTTTCTGTATTTAGGCTCCCAAAATTAGTGTTATGTATACTAGAATAAGGTTTGCCCTAATACTTTTTGGATATGGATAGTCTTATGTGTGATCTCAGATGTTATATTGCCTGCACAGCTTCATTTCATGTTTCCTGTTCCCATTTATTTATCCACTGGAATCCTTCTTCTCTAAGTGATGTTTCACTCATCCCCTCACACGTTGGACTTGCATATATTCATCATTATCTCCCAACTCCCTACAGTTTGTTTTTAAAGGTGTCATAACATCAGATTAGACATCTTCCTTTGTCCCTGGCTGCCCATCTATGTCGTAATTTGGGGGAAAATAATCCAGGCTGGAAGGTGGACCACACCAACAATGTTCACCTTGCATTAGCCCTGTCAAATGGCCATTTCATCTTCCTCCAAATATTGCATTATGCCAGAAACAATACTACACACATCTGTTCAACTGTGAGTTGGTGTGTTTACTAATTTCTTTCTTTTTATTCTTACAGGGTAACACTCCTCTTCTATATTGGTGGTGAATGATGCCTGTCCATAATTAAAGAACATAATATTGTGTGCAGCAATTAGTGAAAATATCTTTTCTATTTTCAAAGAACTACCTTTTCCACAATGGTTCACTACAAATCGTCATCACAAAGCAAGAAAAACCTTGTTCCATGAAGATAAAGAAAGATCAACCAATGATAATGCAAAACCACTTTATATTGGCTACAACACTAACATTAATAAAATATCAAGGAAGAATAACTTTAGAATCATATACAAATATCTGAACACCATTAAAAATAACTTAACTTCAAACAGAAAACACCTGAAGATAAAAAACTAGACATTTATATTATACCATGTCAATCCTGTGAAACCAGAAGAAGTGTTTGTACTAGAGTTTCTGAACATAAAAAAGACATAAAATATGGAAACCAAACAGTACCATTTTTCTTCATATTAGAGATGATGTCCATCAAATTGATCAGAAATCAACAAGAATTTTGTACAAAATGGATAACTACGTAAAAAGAAGAATCGTCGAAAGATGCTTAATCAAAAGCCTGCCTAATTTCAACACCTCCCAAGTTCACTTTAAACTTAACAACTTCCTGACCTCCAGTGTTCTCTTGGGAATTCCAAGATCAGGAGTCACATTAACATTTGTTGACCAGTTTTTTCATGTCTGAAGACAACATGAAACTGAAGAGGATGTGTCGAAACTAATTTCTCTGATATCAGAATTCTGACAGTTTGTTCTGTTTACTGTATTTTTTCACTACTTGATGCCTGTCCAGGTATAATAATTTTTAAATCCACACTGAATGGCCAGTAAGGTTAATAACACCCACCTTTGAGATGGGTTCCTCCTCACAGCGTTTTTGCATCATAAATATGTCCAACCTGAACTGTACACTCATGGACTAGCATGAGAAAAGCAGAAGGAGATTGCTGCCCATCTCTGTTGCTCCTTCAATTGCATTTACCAGGAATGGTCTGCTTTTAAAAATATGGTTACACAGTTGCCCATTGCATTTTCTCTGGTGCTGCATTTCTCCAGACTTTCCAACGCACTATTTTCCCCCCTTCTTCCAGTGGAGTTTGGGAATCCTTACCACTTACCAGCTCCTATCTGCTGGGGTGGTGGACAATGAAGGCTTCCTCCTGAGTGTGATGAATCACACTCAGTTGAGAGTTGAGCAGTAGTGTTCTGCCAGTGTAGATGGTGTGACTATCCTCCTACCATAGACTAGATGCCATATTGTTTTGAGCTGGATTTTTCCATCAAATGCAGTTACCCTTTCCAGCTGGGAACTCTCCTTCCTACCACCACCTGGGTGTCAGTTCCCAGGCAACTGGTATTGGTTGGAGCTGGACCAGCCAACATAAGTCTTCACATCTGAGTGAACTGAGACCCTCCTCCTACCATAGACTATACCATACATTCCCAATGCTGCATGATCTTGGACTGGAGTTGACCCTCCACCTTCCTACTATCATCCGAATGTCGGTTCCCAGGGGCACAAGTCTTGGTTGTGTTGGTTATGCTTGAACAGAAGTTATCTTTCATTTCTGGTTCCTGAGTATGAGGTGAAGATGGAAGAAGACCCTCCTCCTTCCATGGTTCCGGATGATCCAATCCTGGTCCAACTTGTTTTGGACTGGAATTGACCTCCTTATTTGGGTCAGACATGCTTTAGCTACTCTACATCATGGGCATGTCCAGCTACTGTTGGTTGAGGACCCTCCTCCTACTGTGGACCTGGTGACCTATTTCCAGATACACTGTTTTTGGACTGAAGTTGACCTCCCATTTACAGTCCAATTAAAAATGGAATATGGTCTGATGTGCCCTATCCAGTCTATACCCTGGGCACTTATGGCTAATATTTGTAGGTGCCTGTTTTCCAGCCATTTAGCAACACATTCATTCATCGAGAATGAAGAGCATACCAGGTTCAGATGTGGTGTCTTCCTTTAACAAGAGAAGTAACACTCAATGGGTGTTCTTTGGATGCTTTCTGAAGGATGCTTGTCTAGGTAAATTTTGCACCAGTCTCTCCACCACATCAGTGTTGTATTCTAGCTATTATGTGAGTGGAAGTAAGATGTATCGGAATTTAACATTTTGCAACACTGACAATATATTTCTGATAGATATCTCCGCTCACACTTCCCATCCTTCATCACCACTCCTTGTTTTTTTTATTGCCTAATCTTACAGCGTAGAGGGAGTCAGCTGCAACAGGAGAGTGTGTTGCACTCCTGTTGGTGGAGGGTTGTTGCATGCTACAATGCAGCTGAGTCATGTAGAAGTGTGGGGTAGGTGGGAGTTTCAAGGCTAGAGGCAAGCAAAACAAACTGCACATATAGAGGGGTAGCACTGAACGAGAAATGTTGTTATGTGAACGTAGGTAAGTATCTGTCGGAAATATATTTTTAGTGTAGGAAAATATTAACACCACACAACTTAACAGGTTTTATAGTAGATAGCATGAAGTCACTTAAACTTAAACCAGCCAGTGTAATTTACTAAAATGACTAAAATATTTTAGTGACATCTACCACTTTTATTGTTTTGTATGCAACAGAAAAAGAAATAATTGTGAGTGCATGGAAGAACCTTTAGGTGGGTCATAATGAGAGCTACTATGTTACATTTGAAAGGTTGCTAATTTACAGCAAGGAAGAATATCTTTGTTCAGGTATATTCTGACAAATTTATCTAAATTGTCATGTAGGTGTTGTTTGTACAGGGATGTACACAAATTAGTTATAAACTTGACTCTGTGTCTGATGTGGTTTCAATAAGTCAGTATAAGTTGGGGCTTCTTTCAATAGTGTTTATTTATTTGGAATGAACTAATGATGGATACAAAGGATTGTAGGATCATGCACTATAACCGTCTCTCTGACATGAAAATGGTCATGACATGAAATCTCCCTCTCTTACCCCAACTGTTGCTTTAATCCTATTTTCATCAGGAGTAGATGTGATAATTTTGTTTTCCACTCTAACAGCTAGTAGATATCATATAATGAACCAGGAGCTGACTAGTCTGTGTGTAAATAAAGATAAAGTATATTCGTTCACATATAATGAACCAGGAGCTGACTAGTCTGTGTGTAAATAAAGATAAAGTATATTCGTTCACATATAATGAACCAGGAGCTAAATA